CCAACGGTGTTAATGTCTAACTTCAACCAATCCACGAAGTTGCGCCACCGTACACCATTGTCTTCAGTGAGTTCCTATCTCACAACAGACCTGGTTGAACTCCACTGGTAACGGCTTCTCACTAGAACTTCGGGAATTTTTCCTGAAGTCAGTCACTAGTGAGCAGTTGATTATTATCATTTTTCAGTGGAAAATTGTATACTATTGTGTAAATTTGTTTAGCCACTGCATATATAAACTCAGTGGTTAGCTACTTTGATTTCTAGTACAATTATTTAGTGTCATTTTTATTTATTTACTCAGCTTTGAGTAGTATTTCAGTTGTGTATATTTGAGGGTTAGTGAAACTATTCGGCTTCAAACCTGTGAAATATTTATTAATGACTGAATACAACTCTGCCATCAAGCATCTCTTTAACTTTCATCGAAATGTTTAGGTGAGATATAGGTTAGACAGAATAAGTATTCTGATAAAACTAGATACCAACACCTGAATTTCTCTCTAGCTACTTAGGTTTTGGGGGGGGGTCGGTTGTAATAAGAATTAAAGTATGTTCTACGGAGCTTAGATAATGAACCTGTACTTGGTAAAGAATTGCATGCACATTTTTAAAGTTTACTTGAGTAGTGTTTATTCAACATGTTAAGTGACACAGCATTTAGCTTCGAATCAATATTTTTTATAATCGACGTATGTACAATAATGATGGGAAGTTTCTTATATATTCGATTCACATTATTTCTCTGTATTTTCGTTTATAATTCACCCTTTAAATCATCATTAAAATCCCATTAGCGACTGGTAAATCAGTGATTAGTATTAAAATGAGTTTCACTGGATACTTCAAAGATACCACTGAAACCTTCATTTATGCTGAAAACAATATATTACTTTCTATGACTTCACTACACGAATGAATCAAGGAGTAATAAAAAGTTGATTGAAGAAATCCTCCTTCAACTTCTCAACTTGGAATTGTTTCACGTCCGATCTCCATTGAACTCTAATCATTGTTAGTGTAATGAATTAGTGTGAAATACCATTCCATGGTTCGTATGACAGATTTTTCGGTATCCTTATATACATATCATGCAAAAAACAATCCATTGAAAGTCCAAGATGTAATCCGGGATCTTAATGTCTATTTTAGGCTGATTTTGTAAAGTATCTTAAGTAATAACTTTATTTTGTAAGTGATATTTACTACGTTTTAATCTTATTTGGGGGTATCACAGAAAACCGGAGAGAACTGGAGATGTTTCATCTTAATATATGATTCAGCAGTGAGCATCGACGATCACGCCAGGACCTTCAGATACGAGGAACGAAAATTTTTAGTTTCACCAATTTACTTAATTCATTTTGAAGACTAACTTGGAATGATAAATGAGTTGATTTAATACAGGAAGCAATAGTTATCAATTTTTATACTGCGTAACTCGTGAAACATTTATTCACAACTGTCTTGAGGTAGATATTTTGCTGTCAAGAGATCGAGTATTGAATTGTCCCAATTTTTTTAAATACATTCAGTCGGTAAGATATTCTTGTGTCATACAATGAAATGAAAATAGTTTGTCGATCGAAAGCTTAGATTCAGTAATTATCGGGAATACACACTTTGGTAGCGATCATGTCAACTTACAAGTGATCTTTAGTATTCAGGGTGTTTTTAAATCGATATTGATTGAAATAATTGGAATGATTTTGATTATTATGACATACTAAAGCGTTAATTTGATCATTAAGCTACTCGGTATTCAACCAGTAGGTTACAGGTGTCAATCCTCTTTCGATATAGTTCGATATTCACAGCATAGTGGTGTTCTTAGTCCTCAAAATAGTATTGTGGCTTAAAGTTGAGTATTTGGTAAATGAGTCACATTAAATCACAACACTGTTAGTAGAATATATACTATACCATTCTTTATGAATAGTTACCTTTAGTTGCTTGAATTAAGGAATGTAATTTAGAGGGGGATTTTTAATCCTCTCTCCTACAATCAGTAACAGTTTATTATACCCATGTCCTCTATGTATTAAGTATCGTTTTCAAAATATTGTCCATAATATATTCTGTTGATCTATTTCAATTTTCTTCGCATTTGATAAAACTATTATTTATTGCTGTTGTTGACGTCACAATTAAACAGAATACACCCACTGAGAAATAAATGTGGGAAAGAATGGTTCAATAAAGTATCATCTTTTTGTTCAACTCATTTTCAAAGCTGTACAATCGCAAGTGCAATCGGTAATATGTATGATAGAACTCAAAATATGGTTATGAAAAGCTTGGATATTCCTCAAGACCAGCAAACATATTGGATAAAGAATAGTGACTGTAGAAAATGGGATATGATATGATTAAATAAAATATAGTCGAAGAAAGAGACAGAATAACTCAGTCATATGTACAAAGTGAATGGAGAGGTAGAATGATGGGAAAGATTATGATTTTATAAAACCAGGCGTTAATTAAGACTATGGTAGAAGACAAGTTCGAGAAGAATCCTTTACTATAAATGGCTCACGTTTTTCTAGATTTTAATGTAGTAAAGTCTTCAGCAATGGTAGGAAAAAGGAAGCTCACTGTTTTTGGCGAGTTTCTGTCATTCAACTTTTAGATAAATTTTTATTCTGAGTTTGTTTTGATCGATTGATTTGCTTAATAACGGTGCGTCTTATGAATATATTCACGCGTCATATCGCTTTTACAAATGTTTTTGAAACCACTTGTATAGAATTTACTAGTCCATACTTCTACTACTTAGTATTCTCGAATTATTGACTATTTGAACTTTTTGAGTAATTGAGTGCTCAGATGGGGAGTGCAGTTTCGTGGATTGGTTGATGTTAGACACTATCACCACTGGATGCCGGCTCAGTGGTCCAGTTGGTTAAGCGTTCGCACGCGAGACCGAAGGTCCTGGATTCGAACCCCGCGAGCGGGATCGTAGATGCGCACTGCTGAGGAGTCCCACAATATGATGAAACGGCCGTCTAGTGCTTCCAGGTTTCCAAAATTGGTGGTCTAACATCAATCGGTTCATGATCCCAATCAAAAATGTAATAATCTCCACAACCCCCATACTGGATATATAAACTTAAATGTGACAGGAACATCAAAATTCACTATGGCATAAATAATTCATGTTAAATGAATATCATTTGTATATATAAACCTTAATGTCAGTATTAATGTGAATGGTAATAGTTTCGAACTTATTATCGGTTTACATGAATGATGTTTTATATGAACAATGGCATTCAGTTAATATAAGCTATGAATAAATTTGCATAGAGATAAATAAATGGTTAGAAATATTAATGAATTAAAATGGTGTAAATATGGTGTACATAAAATATTCAGCATAGCTTAACACCAATCTACTCATTCTCGGAAATTCTGAACACAATACATTACAATACCATACTTTTTGATTTTTAATACAGCACTAAAAACTATTGGATTGGGGTGCAAAATATGTTGTTTAGTGGCATTTTAACTACAAATAGACTGGTTAATCAAGGACATATACTTGAATAAATTGAGTGAGATAAATATACATACCTCTAAAAGAAACGTTTGTTTGGAAGTCACAACATTTCACCTATTAGATGAATGGAAAAATAGTTCAAAGTATTGGATATGCATGACATGGATTGGAAACTTCAGAAATTACCTGAGTCTCTGTCTCCGCTCATAAATTACAAAAAAACTTCTGTTACTCGGTTTCATACCCCGAATGTCATAGTTATGTATTTTATGTTTGAATTCATTTGAATTTCTTAAGTCTCGGTAATACAGAAAGATACTTGACTAGTTTTTTCAATGATCTGATTGATAAATTAGTATTTTTGCGAAGACTAATGATCGTTAATGTATACAGTAATTGTGTTTATAGGGATGAATAGTTTTAATACAAATTAGATCCTTAACATCATTGTTTGTTAATTTGCACGTAACCATCAGATTAGAACTATGTAAATAAAATAATTGAAGGGAATTTTTCACTACAAATTAATTCGAATTAAATAAAGATTGAAAAACTAACCGGTTTTGTACTCATTTTCTGAAACATTAAAAACACATTCATAGCTCATAGTCTGGAAGTTTTACCATAATTAATTTCTATGTGTTTTTCATTAACTAATGAGTATACAATTTTTTGTAATGATGAACAATCCAACCTACTTTCACTGTGTTATGTTCCATAATCATGTAAAATAGAATCAGTCTGAACTAAAGTGTATTGATATCAATCTAGTTTACGTAAACATAATACATATCGTTTTTATTCTGGACACCGTGTCCGGTGATCAATATTTATCATGAAACATTAGTTATTTCAGATATATATATATATATATATATATATATATATATATATATATATATATATATATATATATATATATATATAATTTTACTAGTAAATGTTCATAATGTAACTAAACAGATTACAAATGTGTTAGGTATGTAATACTACTGTGTGGTACTAACTAACTAACTTGGGATTAACTAAGAATTATTCATTTGTGATGTAATCAAAATCACTTAGATGATTTCTTCACGGAGTAATCTAAGGTGGAGATTCATTGTAAAATAGACAAAACTGTTTCGTTCTGGTTTAATGCTTCTTAACAGTCCTTCTCTTTGACCACACCAAAGATCGTGCCTAGAACTCTCAAGTCTCGCGGTGAGCATCTTACCTTTTTACCACTGCGTCTAAATCTAATAGTCTGCAAGTTTAACTTCAGCCAACCAATAGTGCGATGATTATAAGATGTCATTGACGACATCTTCATAACTAACGAAATGATCGAATTCTACCAAACATAGCCTCTTATCAGAACTTATGGAACCCAGCCAGAAACAAGTCACTGGTCAATACACAATAATTATTCAGTTGATTGATCCTTTACAATATATTGATCAAATAATACTTTATATTATTCATTGTCCAATTTTTCTTACTTTATTTTGCATTGCTAGCTTATTATCAGTGGGTACCGTTTGTACTTGGCCTACAGTGCATATTATTTTATATTCCACATATTGCTTGGCAAGCTGCTTGTGCTTGTCGTTCTGGCGGTGATATGTTTTCGTTAGTAAAATCAGCGGCAGATGCTGCCATACTATCTCGAGATGATCGTCAGAAAGCAGTAGCTCGTGTAGCGGAATTCATCGAGGATATGATTGGAATGCACAAAGAATGTCGGAAAGTAAGTTAATTTAGACATGTCTTACTGAGTTTCAGATTTCCTATAGTAAAAGTTTCTAAACCTATTTAAGACATCTTTACATTTTTCATCGAACAAATAAAATGTTATGTTTATTTACGTAAAATAGATTGAATGTGACTAGCAGTGGAATCCAGGAAGTGCGTTCCATTCAATCTGAGACTCGTTCTGAATTTCACTGTTAGCCACATTCCATTTACTCTATATAAACTTATGTCATAAAAGTTTTATCAAGGGAATCCGCATAAGATGTCCATGTGTCAACTAAGATTGACCAAATTTCGACTGAAATAACAACAACAGGATAATCGAAATCATTACAAAGTGTATTGTGCTTATTGGTTGACTGTTTGGTGATAAAATTAGTTTGCCATTGGAAATTGATTGTTTGAACTGAACTGTTAAATATATCCCCAAGTATGGGACTATTTAGTAGGGCTCCACTGATAGAACCCGAGACCTTCAAATCTCCTAATAAAGGCTTAAAGTTCAGATCACTGAGTCAAAGTCCAATGGTTGACATTTCTAAATTCAACTAATTGTGAATATTGCTCAATCATCTACCAACCCCATTAGTGGATGATTGTCTCACATCCAATAGGTTTGAGCTCCACTGGTCACAATTTCTTACAAGAGCCTCATGATTTACCTATCGAGATAGGCCACTGAGTGATCGCATCTGATGAGCCTCACACTAGGTTGAGACAATTATTCAGTTTCAGTTTTGTTTAACTGAGGTTAGTTTATGATATAAACAATAAAATCTAACTCTGCAAACCCGCTATAATCATGAAAAAGTTAAGATTTTCAACCATGATAAGGTCATTACAATAAGATTGTCTTGCTTTATGCAAGGGTTAATATATATATGTCTAAAGTTAAAATGCTTATAATTTATCGAACATTTTGCCGAACCTTCACTTTCAAGAATAGTGAATTTGCGAGCACAGGAAGTATTAGTGACTCATCGACTACGAACCGTCACATTCAGTCGCCAACGAGTAGATCACTATTCCTCAACACATGATGATAGCCCCTTCTTTAAGACTAGTACGGGTCTTACAACCATATGCCATTACCACATCAAACTAGAGTGTAAATAAGGATACAGACTATACAAATTCCAAAAACAACCATTCATGACTTATCCTAAAAAATGATGGATCAAATATAGTCCGTAATACTAAAAACAAAAAAATACAGACCTGTACATATATATTCATACTAATTGAACAAGCTGATGGCTATTTTGACTCAGTTACTCAGTGGATAACTTGTCGGAGTTTAAAGTAAAATAGTATATTGTTTGTGTTTCAATGTGAACGACAACACAATGATGCATCCATTTTCAGTCGAAAAATGCCAAATAGAACTTGAACTTCGTTGTTAACCTAAAATTCAACTCTACTATAACTAGCAACTAAATGACAATATATATATATAAAATAACTATTATTACTATAACACAGCCGTAAACTGCATTTTCCAGTTTTACTGTATTCTAACTCTGTCTCTCTTTTTTTTCTAAGGGTAAACGTGCTAAACTGACTAAAACAGCTGCTCAATTTGGTGGGATATTTGTAGCTAGTAAAAGACTCGGTACACACTTGATATTTTCTTATTTATGCGTAAAAATTGTAACAATTATTAATGCTGCATTACAACTATTTTTAATTCAACGGTTTTTGGGCTTTTATTCAAATGGCAGTGCAAGTCGACGTAGCTTACAATTAGGCAAAGTGACTGATTTTAAATCATGTAAGTTTGATAATGATTATACTATTAAAATTAATAATAGTCGTTGTTTTAACTATTTACCATTAGATTTCATTGTGTAGGTCATCTACGTTCTTTATAATGGGGAATAATTGATTTATTTAATACAACATTTAACTTTAGTCTCTAAATCAATAGAATACGATGCTTGAGCACATGATACCCTCGATTGAATTATTCGACAGTTGAACAAGAGGATATAAACAAGAATAGTGTCGTACCAATACAGTAAAAAGCAGTTTTGGGATGGTATCTTATATTTAATTTAGTTGGATGTATCTATCTCCGCTCATTAGCCATTCACTGATTACCTTGACTGACAAATTGTTCTGATATTTCTTTGAAATATGTATTCATATGTTATATAGTCATTATCATGTAAATAAGCGATTACTGAATGCTTGTATCAAAGTTTGACCAAATATTCAGGTAAAAGGCATAATATTTAAGTTGTAAGAAAAGAACAAATGTTTTACTATTGAACATCATAAAATCACTTTGTGTGCATGCTTTCTACAAAGAATTACTACTGATTGAATTGATGATTAATTAGCTATGTTATGTCATTTGTATGTAGTTTGATAGCGAAATCACTATAATCCTTCCACTAACATAACTCAAGTATTTTTTTGGGGGGGGTTGATGCTAAAAGGAGGTCAAAGGAAGTTTTACGAGTAGTGGCTTTAATCTTATTACTACACATCAGTCAGGTATTTATATAACGTTGTGTTCAGTAAATGGGCACTTAATTTGTGTTATATGTTACTTACAAACACATCATACGCACTGACATCAGATACATCCAGTTGAAACTTAGATAATTATGAAGTAATGATATGTAATATGTATGCATTAGGGTTTATGAAAAATGTTTAGGAGCCGTGTACATAATAATTATTTTGTAACTTCAAATTTTGTGCAATTATCCCATTTGTTCGGTTTTCGGATTTATGGCACTGACGAAATTCGACACATCATTTTGCAAAATTGTTCAAAAGTGTTTAAATAAACACCTTTGTGGTGGTGACTATATAGTTACATTATTAGTTTGTTTGTAAAACTGGTTAGTGAATTGGAATTGAATTCGTTTTGTGCAGGGTAGTAGTAACTTCCTCAACTCTTTTAAGGACAGTCAATATAATCACATATTGGCTAATAATTTTAGTTCATCTTTGTAAAACAACTAACCATTAAAAGTCAACATATGTTTTGTTCTAGTATGGAACTTCTCAGAAATGTTCATCCACATGCTCTATTCTTCAAAGATTGAACCTATGAACACGTTACATTTAAATTACTAAGTCGGAACTCAAGGATTCTCATTTCTAAATTCAATATTTATTGAAATGAATATAATAATTTATATTTTTTATGACTTTTCTTTTATAAACTTCAGTAAATGATTTATCCTATTCAGAAAATGAAAATGTTGAAGGTTATGGATTTGGTTTAACTGTTGTTAATCATATACGTTCTGGACGTGATTGGCCTGAAACTATGCTATTTCCACGTGTAGCATATTGTCGTGTACCGGGTATAAGATTAGTTGGTGTAAAAAATTCATATACTGCACAATGTGCATTACCTATAAATATGTTAAATGAAAAAATTTATATATTTTTCTGGTTTTGGATTGTATTCTTACTTATCATATGTATTTTTAGTTTATTATTATGGTTAACACGTATGATTTTAGCATCAAAACGTAAAAATTTCATTAAACGTTATCTTAGATTAAAAGGTATTCATTCATTAAAAGGTGATGAATTAAAACAAAATGATTTAAATGAATTTATTGATAAATATTTACGTGCTGATGGTGTATTCATTATTCGTATGTTAACTATTAATTCAGGTGATATTATTACAGGAGAAATTGTTACTGAATTATATAATAACTTTATTAATCATTATCATAATACACATTCAATTGATAAAGAACAAGATTTAATGAAACCGGAAAAAATTGGTTTCACCAATCTTGTTTAAAATTATATTTGTTAAATTTTTCTTTTAATCTATGTGAATATGATATATCAAGTTAGTTTACTGAAAGAAAAAAATAATAAAGAATATGTCGAATAAACAGCAACAACAACAACAATGAAAAATAATGTTCATTATTTGTGATTTACACCGACGACAACAACAACAACAACAATAAGAACATTCATATTTTGATCAACCTTTTCACTTGTTTCTCTTTTTTTTTCTTTCTTCTTACTGAGGACAAGATATAGATTATTTTCTGAAAAATAAAAAAAAATCAAGTTTGTTTAACGTTAGCAATAAACGTTTTATTAAAATGTTAGGTATTATTGTCATTACTATTATTATTAATATGGATACGACTATTATTATTATTATTATTATTATTATTATTATTATTATTATTATTATTATTATTATTATTATTATCATTATCATTATTATTATTATTATTACTATTATTAACTCTTTGAAATTGTCTGCTAATTAGCTGTGAAGACTATGTTAGTAATTATTCTGATTTTTTTAAATATTTTTCTATACAACGGATTACTAGAATTGGCGTATGTTTTTTTTTTTTAAAAAAAGATAAATCCTTTAATATAATACATCAGACTAGTACAATCAAATCTTGTATGCATATTCATTTCGGTAAATGCTAAGGTTGAAGCTATCACAAGTTCACTTAATCTGCGAATGAGAAACAAGACTTGGTGATCAGAGACCAGTAAGCTAGCTACTGATGCCTCCTAGCCTCACTAACTAGAGGGAGAAGTCCAAGCTTGAAATGGGGAAGTATATTCTGCGAAACAGTTAGAAACGAGCGATAACAACAAACACGATCCAAAACGTATATATACAGTACAAAACCGTCCTTAGGAAGAGTTACCAAATAGCGTACTGAAAGACGCAACGGACCGATAGCATTTAAGATAGTTCCCAGTTTGGAATACGACATGAAGGCGACAAAAGCGCCTTTGGCACGAAAATAAAGAAATTCAAATTTTCTAAATAAAACTACAAAATTAGGTCCTTTCTCAAGTGAGTTCTGGGGATTTAACGTACCCAACAGTAAATAACGTTAAAGTAATCAATATTCCGTAGTATAGATCATAAACTCATATGAGTTAGATGAAAATTAGAGGCCAGGGTGCATTGAACGTTTATTTCGTTCTAGAATAGGGTTCGTCAGCAGTGTTCATTCACTATCCTAAAGGCGATCGGATCCAGAAACAATTGTCTGGCAAAGCGATTTTATTTAATCATATATTTTAACCATGTAGTCTAAAAGGATTAAATCGTAGGGGAGCGCCAGCTGGTGTAGTGAAAGATTAAGAGACCTGTTGTTCTAAAGCTGTTTGTGTTGTGTAGCAATTTATGTTGTTGGGAGCTAGATCCAGCAATATTGTAAAACATAAATTGTCAGCAGTTAACTTCTTGATGGTTAGGCTTTATGTAGGTGAAAGGTTGTATAAATGTATTTAGCATGTCAAACATTCTTTTTAAACCCACTGACAACGACTGTGGGGATCAGGACATTAGTACAAATTTGGCAGTTGATTGTTCTCCTAGAAATTCTAGTAGATCAGAGGAAACAGATCTGAATAATTCTTCAAGATGCGCACAATATCTGTCTATTCAAGCTGGAATACTAAAGTTAAACACTGTATTATGCATTTTAAGTCAGTGAAAAAGTGCAGGTCAGCACCATGCTTCATTTATGACAGTAATTTTACAATTAATCGTCTTTTTTATGAGGTTTTACACTCCCACCTCTTCTGGATGCAGCGGTGAGCCGGTGAATAAATCCAATAAAAATATTTCAAATATATCAGTAGGGGAAATCCGAAATATGAAAACGAAATATCCATTATCTTAGTGTAGCTTTCAACTTCAGAAAATAATAACAATGGTTCATTACGTTCTTAGTTAATCGTTTGTTATAATCACTAACACTAGCCACAAAATCCATTTTAAATCTCTTCATGAAGATTCAAAATTTGGTAGACATTCCGTCGGATTCGGCCAATTCAATCATTGGCAATTCAACAACGAAAATGAGATTATAACGTAAACTACAATCGTAAGCGATGTCCAAATGTCTACTGGTATATTGATTAGGTAATCAAGGCAGGCTCAACTCCACTTTAGGTCTAAGGTCCAACCAGAATCAACATAAATAATTTATTTATGAAACGATAATATTATTGATGATAAATCAAGCAATGTATTTCGAAAACATCAATTCGTAGGATGTCTAAGGCATTTACACGCGGCTAAAGGAAAATCGTAGTTATATAAGAACTATTTACAAAAATATACGATAAATTAAGCAATAAGCAATAGCTGTATTAATTCAAGAGTAAGAACCAACAAATCAAATTGAGCATTGTACACAAAATATGGGGATCATTACGAAAAAACAAGTGTTCAATGAGCAGATGTACGCTGGAGATAACCCGTTAAGAATGTTTAGGGAAAATTGTAATGATAAATGTATTAAATGTAATGAACTTTTGTAGATACTTAGAATTATAGCTCAAAATAATGAAAATAAAGCTGTTGATACACAAATTATTGACAATAACATAAGTTACTGAATATTAGTAAGTAACATGATAATATACAAAAAAGAAACTGAATAATCCTGAAATAAAGGTCAAACAGAATAAACAGTGAATATAAATCACATTGCATAATCAAATAGATTCTTTACGATATTGTGATGAAATCAGTGTTGATTGTCAAAAATACCTCTTGCTTTTCCTTAATATCAATCAGAATGTTTATTTATCCAGAGTTACTTTGTCATGATTAATATAAAGAAATTTGCAAGCATAACAATTCATATAGGTCATTTCACAACAAAAGTAAGCATATAGAATAGTCAAAGCCGTGATATATTCTACTACTCATCTGTTTTAATGCTCACTTTAAAGTATTCCAGAGGTCATTTCACTCAAGATTTTGCATTCCACATTTATTTTTTACTATTTCAGACAATCGAGATAATTCCATCGGAATCGTTTTAACATTTTATTCATTAAAAATAAAATCTCATAAGAGGTATCATTTTCATTGAGGCAAATTTCCACAAAACATAAATATATTAAGCTGATACTTAATTACTAGACTCTGTTCAACACAAACGAGTAAATAGCATGGCATTGATTACTGATCAGTGATCAGTTAGTCTACTGCTTTGCTTACTGCTTACGCCTGCTACACCTCGTGAAGGAGCATAGGCCGCTCACCATCATTCTCTATCCAACCCTGTACTGGGCAATCCTTTCCAGCTCCTTCCAGTTCCTATTCATCCTTTTCATATCTTCTTCTATTATCCGACGTAATGTGTTCTTAGGCCTTCCTCTTTTTCGCTTCCCTTCAGGATTCCAAGTTAGTGCTTGTCTCATGATGCAGTTTGACGATTTGCGAAATGTATGTCCTATCCATTTTCATCGTCTTTTCCTAATTTCTTCTTCAGCTGGAAGCTGATTTGTTCTCTCCCACAAAAGGCTGTTGCTGATGGTATCCGGCCAATGGATGTTGAGTATCTTGCGAAGACAGCTATTTATAAATACTTGTACCTTCTTGATGGTGGTTGTCGTAGTTCTCCAAGTTTCAGCTCCATGCAGTAGAATTGCCTTGACATTCGTATTGAAGATTCTCACTTTGATATTGGTTGAAAGTTGTTTTGAGTTCCATATGTTCTTTAATTGTAGGAATGCGACCCTTGATTTGCCAATCCTCGCTTTTATGTCTGCATCTGAGCCTCCTTTTTCATCGATGATGCTTCCCAGGTATGTGAAGGATTCTGCATCTCCCAGAGTTTCGCCATCAAGAGTGATTGGATTGCTGTTCTCCGCTTTGAATTTGAGGACTTTGTTTTTCCCTTTGTGTATGCTGAGGCCTACTGATGCAGAGACTGCTGCTACACTGGCTGTCTTCATCAGCATCTGTTCGTGTGTACGTGATAGGAGGGCTAGGTCATCTGAGAAGTCCAAATCGTCTAATTGATTTCGAGCTGTCCATTGTATTCCGTGTTTTCCCCCAGATATCGAGGTCCTTATAATCCAGTCGACCACCAAAAGAAAGAGGAAGGGAGAGAGTGGATAGCCTTGTCTTACTCCGGTCCTTACTTAGAGTGCATCTGTCAGCTGTTCTCCATGCACGACTTTGCATTGTAGTCCGTCATATGAGTTCCGGATAATATTGACAATCTTCTCAGAAACTCCGTAGTGTCGAAGAAGTTTCCATAACGTCCTCCTATCCACACTGTCAAATGCATTTTCATAATCAATGAAGTTGATGTATAGTGACGAGTTCCACTCAAATGATTGTTCGACGATGATCCGTAGTGTCGTAATTCGGTCTGTGCACGACCGATCCTTACGGAATCCAGCTTGTTGATCTCGAAGTTGGGCGTCTAGTGCACCTTTCATCCGGTTCAGCAACACTCTGTTGAAGACCTTCCCTGGTACTGACAGTAGTGTAATGCCTCTGTAGTTTTCACAGTTGCTCAGATCTCCTTTCTTTGGAATTTGGAAGAGGTGCCCTTCTTTCCAGTCCATCGGCACTTGTTCCTCCTCTCAAATCTTTTTGAATAGAAGGTAAAGCATGTTTGTAGTTACTTCGATGTCCGACTTCAGTGCTTCAGCTGGTATGTTGTCGGGTCCTGCTGCTTTCCCGATCTTGATTTGTCTGACGGCCATTCTGATTTTTTCCTTCGTTGGTGGGTTGACGTCCACGGGAAGATCTGTGTGTGCTGTTTCGATGTCCGGCGGATTCGTTGGAGCCGGCCTATTCAGGAGTTCCTCGAAGTAGTCTACCCATCTGTTCCGCTGTTGTTGAATTTCAGTGATTGGCTTGCCCTCTTTGTCTTTGACCGGTCTCTCTGGTTTACTGTATTTCCCTGCTAGTTTCTTCGTTGTATCGTAAAGCTGTTTCATATTTCCTTCTCTAGCAGCTTTTCCAGCCGTCTTTGGTAGTTCTTCCACGTACTTCTTCTTGTCGGTTCTAATGCTCCTCTTCACTTGCTTGTTTGCTTCTGTGTATTCAGCTTGTGCTTGGACTTTCTCTGTTCGTGTTCGGCTGTTGTCAATTGCTGTCTTCTTGTTCTTCCTTTCTTTGATCTTGTCCAGAGTTTCTATAGAGATCCACTCCTTATGATGGTGTTTCTTGAGGCCCAGAACCTCTTGACACGTTGAAGTTAATGCTTCTTTGATGCCTTTCCGGTTGTCCTCTATACTAGTTTCTTCTTCTTTTAGTAGATCCTGTTAGACTTGGAACCTGTTGTTGAGGGCTATCTTGAATTCATTGAGTCTGTCAGTATCTCGAAGGAAGGCTGTATTAAACCTTTGTAGTGCTGTTTGTCCAGTTGTCCAGTTCTTCTTTAGCTTCAATTTCAAATTGGCCACAACTAGGTGGTGATCTGAAGCTACGTCAGCACCTCTCCTGGTTCTCACATCTTCCATTGTCCTTCGGAATTTTTTGTTGATGCAAATATGATCTATTTGGTTGGCTGTAGTGTGGTCCGGTGAGATCCATGTAGCCTTGTGTATACGCTTGTGTGAAAATATTGTGCCCCCTATGACCAATTTGTTGAATGAACATAGATTTGCAAATTTTTCTCCATTTTCGTTTCTTTCTCCCAGTCCATGTCGTCCCATAATATCTTCATATCCAGTGTTGTCTATTCCGACTTTGGCATTTAGATCTCCCATTAGAATAGTGAGGTCCTTTCTTGGGCATTTCTCTATGATTGACTGCAGCCGCTCGTAGAACTGATCTTTAATGTCTTCGTTGCTATCATTGGTGGGTGCATAACATTGGATAATATTCATTAGGATCCCCTCCTTCTTTTTTTTGAATGATGCTTTGATGATTCTGGATCCGTGAGATTCCCATCCTACAAGTGCATTTCGTACTACTTTGGACAGCATTAGAACAACTCCCTGAGTGTGTGGAACATTGTCCTCTTCGTGACCGGAGTATAGCAGCATCTCTCCCGTAGCTAGCCTTTTCTGTCCAGCTTGGGTCCAATGGGTTTCGCTGATTCCCAGTACTGCTAAGTTGTATCTCCTCATTTCCATTGCTATTTGACTGGTCTTCCCAGTTTCCCACATTGTTCGAACGTTTCATGTACCTATAAAATTTTTTGCTCTGGTTGTTAGAAGGGGCATCGGCCTCGTGGCTTCCGAAGGAACTCGGCTTTCACCATGAAGCGTATTCTTTTGAACAGACGTTTTTAGCTCGGTCAAAAAGGGTTCGTACAATACCCTTTTTGTAACTCATTAGACAGAAACTGTGGTAATTGAGATATATGATGAAATTAATCTGATTATTAATGTTCTACGTGATAATGAATACCCATTGAAATTTATCCAGAAATATGCGAAAACCAATCCTTGGACAAAGTACGATGGAGTAGAAAAGAAAACCTGCTTCTTACACTTACGTTTCAAAGGTGATGAAATTGCCGGAATAATTAATCACAGACCAAACTCTGCGTTGAAAGTCACCTACCCAGCAGCAAAACTAACGACAGTATGGCAAACGAACTGCTGACTTAAACAAAGCAAAATCGACAAGCCTTCTTTCCTTAGTAGCTCCAACTGCATCTACCAATTCACATGTACGTGCCAAAGCACATACATTAGAAGAACTGAGAGAAGAGTGCATGTCCGCATTTCTGAGCATGTTCCAAAAAACTTGAGGCTGCGAGGGAATAAGGCCTTCAACAGCTCAATAGCTCGACATATACTTGACACCGGCCACACCATCGAGATTCCACATGCTTTAAAAATTATCAATAGACAAAGAAGTACGACCACCCTCCGTTTTGCTGAAGCCATCATGATCAAAAAACTTAAACCTAACTTATGCATCCAAAAAGAGACTTTAATTATCACTACCCTGGTAACCCTTTTTATTTTATTTATTTATTTTAAAATATTTATACTCCTCCCCTATTACATAATTCTTAAACCACATTATCATTCACACATTTCCGCCACCTGATCCTCTTAAATTATCTTAACTTTTCAAATTCTATTTTATTATTATTACGTAACCTATCTTATAATTATTCAATTCCATTATTACACCACTCAACCCGAATTAATTCCTTTTGACCTCTGACCTGTTCTAGCACATATATATATATATATATATATATATATATATATATATATATATATATATATATATATATATATATATATATATAATTATTATTGTAACCCAGTTATTTACACTCATCTATGTCAATTGTTTTCACTCTATCTCAATGTAAAGATTCTATCACATTTTTGGTTTGTAAGCCGCTGACGAGAAACCTCGAAATAATATGAATTCATACTATTCTGCACCATTGTTTGTTCTTACTATGTCTATCATGATTCAATGGCTGATTACCAATTAAAGCGCTTGGCATCCAAACTCTAGGTCTGAGATTTAAGTTTCACCTACATCGGATTGCGTAGCCGGTGGCATAAACAAAGTGTTACGTAAAACCAAATACAAAAAGGAATAATTGGTCAGCTGAGTTAATTAGTTCTTGGTGAAATGAATATTTACGTGAAAATCATGAGCTCCGTAATCACCTTTCCCCAGGTTACTAGCTCTCTACAATTAGTTTTGTGATTTACGTTGTATCATTTCCGAAAGGTACATATAATGTTCATTATAGCATTACTCATGTTCGACCATTCCTTCTTGAAGTTAAGAAAGAAATTTGATAAACGACAATTTATCACAATTTCTCTTATTTAGAGCAATGTTAGGTATTAAAATTTATGGCGCATTACATATGAATAAAAATGTTTCAATTATTTATAGCATTGGATTTTGATCCAAAGAATGAATAATTCTTAGAAATTTAATAATCAAAGTAAGAAAATTTGTTCAGAGGCTCACTGACCTTAAATCCTCATACTTGTATATGTGTTAGACACAGCATTGTAACATCAGTAATGTGAAACTTACATCTTTCGAATGAAGTTTATAAATTACCTAAGATAAAGAAAACAGCTCTAATGAAACCTAACCTAACAATATTATTTCGAGGATGTATAAATTCGTTGTCGTACAAATACGTCTGAAAAACACTTTCAGAGAAATATGGCAGTTTAAAGGCAGGATGAAAGAGATTGATGGACAGAATATAGTAAACCAAGCAATCTAAGTGAAAGATATTATAAGAAGTCTGTAATAACGTTTAGATCATAGGCACTACAACAAACAAGTCCTAAGAATAAAATTTACTTTAAATATTCCCTTCTAACGAACATCATCTGTAGGTAAGTATGTTATTCTTGCTTCCTTACACTTGTAACCACTCATAGAGGAGTATAGACCGTAAACCAGCATTTTCCATTCAACTCGTCCCGAGAAATATCTCCTAGTCGCTGTCCATAATTTTGATATCTGCTTCCAATTCCCGACTATATATGTTCTTCGGCATTCCACTTTTCCATTAACCTTAAGGATTCCAAGTTACCGCTCGCTTTCTGATGCGTTTAGATGATAAGCGTTATGTATGTACCATCCAAATTCAGCGCCGATTCGTGCTTTCCAATTCAGCGTGGTGTGTTCAACAACATAAGGGAGAGGTAAAATAATCAAATAATAATTACAATAATAATGATAATAGAATTCTCTTAGACAGGATAACAATGAGGTAAAATAAACAAAGCTATGAAAACGTAATTTTCATTAAGTAAACTAACAATAATTTTGGTATCTCTTTATCTATTCTACTTCACTGTTATCATGTTTAGTAGAATTTTATTATCACAGTGATTGCAATTATTATCAATTTGGAAAATAACTTTATAATTCCGATTGTACGGTTTTGACAAATGAATTCGCCGAAAAGACACTCCTTCATTGAATCAATCTTTCTTATTTTGAGTAAAGTATTTATTTATGATTTAGGTGTGCCCATCGTCAAGTTTTGTAACTGGTTCCGTTGATGATGGAAATCCAAACAATCATCCTGTACATCGTTTCATTGCGGACAAACTCAACTTCTCCATTAATACCGATGATCCAACACTGACAGAAAGATGGGATTTACAAGAAGCTAAATATTGTATCGAAGAATTAGGCATAGCACCTGATCAGTTGAATATTGCCAATTACAATGCAGCTATGGCAGCGTTTGTTACCAGTGCTGAACGGGAACTTTTAATATCACATATAAAAATTCGATCGAGAAATAGAATAATCAAAGTTTAATTAAAAACAAAATCACTATTCTGCTCAAACACACAAAGTGGATCATATTTTATCTGATACTTTCTTCTCAATAGAAAAACAACAATACTCTACCGATTAGAAAATAATTTACGAATAGATTATTGAAAGAAACATACTTTCTTATTAGTTCTTATTCACAAAGTCTCATTTCATATTCTAATTTGTGATTATAACTTTTGTTTATCAAGTTAATTATAAAACATTCCATTCTAATATATTATTTTTCATAAGAATCTATTTTGCCTTATCAGAACAAGTTTGAAAACAAAGACTTCTTGTTTATTTTAGAGATTAGTACTAATTAGATGAATAATCTCTATATAGAAAGATATTAATAACAGTGTGTAATTTTCCGTGGTCGATGTTATATAGTGTGATTGATCAGTCTCTGTTGATGTACATGCATCAGGCTACATGGATTGCTTCGGTATTGCCATTTGGCCAAAACCTTTGGTAAAGTAGCAATTATAGTTACCAATGAAATGTAAAACAATTATTATTTGACCATTTAGCACTCGTCAAATGTTTAGATGCTCATCTCATTGATGATTCTCACACTAAGACTCGAACCCACTACACGTCACTGAAACGCCAACAAATCATCCATTGAGCTTCTCAGTCTGCGTAAACACCAACTTGTTCAACGAGTATTAAGTTATTTTTAGTATTTCTATCTCCCCGTTTTAATAAATAACTTCATGCTCGTTAAATAAATTAACATCAACTTACACTCAGTAGCTCAGTGGATGATCGGTTGATGCCTCAAGCTGTGAGTCTCACTGTTAACAACAAAAATGGAATCGAAATACATCTACATGACGAGTTTCAAACGAGAGAAAACACTGATAATCAATATCACAATTTATAAAATGGATTGATATTAACAATAGATGAAATAAATGGATTCCATAACACTCAACTGAAGTTGGTCACATAAAGATCTGAGCCCGAAGAGCATGACAGATGTCCCTCATCCTGTTGCGAACTTCGAGATATGGAAATAACTGAATAATCATGTGAGCGAGTGTGTTCCTCACAGCTTCAACCTGATACAGACATCGCAAAGAAATCTCCATTCGTTATTTACAACATGAATAGTTAATATTACTGTTTCTCATTAAGAAAACTTTGTGACTTCTACCACTGAGGAAAAACTCCCGATCATGAAGCCAGTTAGTGAGGAGGGTGGAATGTACGGCCAGCGACCAAACTTCGCAAAGCAAACTCTGATAAAGAAGTGATAGCCAAAGATTTCTGGTAAAAATCTGCTCTGTGAGATGAAGGGTCAGTGTGTAGAAACATTACAACACCTGATCGAGGAAACCAGGAGACTCCGGAAGTCACAAGACCAACGCCCCTTCTAATAACCGGCAAACAGCAACTGATGGGAATATAGAACGGCCGAACAACGTGTCAGACTGAGGAAGTGCTTTGAATAGTCACAAAAACAACAAGATTCAACCTGAAACATATTGGAATAAGTGAGAATATTTAGGTGTAAACAGTAAGGAAAAGGCTAACTTCAAAAGAGATCGACAAACAACCCTTTCAACATGCAACGTAATGCTGGACAAAAGGAAGCACCAGTACAAAGGATTGACTACTTCCAACCACTTACCGTGTTGTTAACACATTAAATTAGTAATGCAACACGTTTATACTAAAAATCGGACAGTCTCACACTCTGATATTTTCAAATATTTCAGCAACATTGCTCCAACAAACATTTCTAGAGTCACTTGTGGAGTTTATAAATACATTTGTTTCGGTCGACTTGCAAAACTATGAAGTCAGTGAGAAATTAAGTCGATTGATTGCATCGATTTGTTTTACTACTGAGTTCACAAGTAATCAATCAGTCATGTGAATGACAAACTTCCTTCAGAAAGTGTTAATATGTCCAGGTAATCATATATTCCACTTTCGCCACTATCTCTACAAGGTAAACATATCAAATGATGATTAAACAATTTTCTGTTTACCAAATCTTACTCAAACGTGAACATACGTTTGTTAAGCAATAAAAGCAAACTAACCAGTGAATGTGATTAGCTCATACTTATGTGTGGTTGAAATATTTTGTCACTTTGTAACGAAATCTAGATTACAATCATTGATATTACTGAGAGTAGAAGAATTAGCATTGTGGATTCCCTGAATTGTCCAGTTGAATATACGCATTAAAATCCACCACATAACCTTAAAGTAGATGTGTACAGAAACTGTTTGTAAAGTAGCCTTCAATGGACATGACTTTACATTCCATCACACTTTTCTATTGTCGATAAATAATTCAGTCTTGTCCATTCGTCCATTGCATCAAATATTATCATCTTCATTTGAAAAAATAATCAGAACACGACAGATTGGAATCCAAAACACCTATTTGTTTCTTAATGACTGTTATCGCCTATGAACAATTCTCATTCACAATAATCTTCATTAACTTATTTAATAATCCATATCATAGTCTTTCAACAATCAGTCCCATTTTCGTTTTTTCCATTAGTTTTCTATACTCATGGTTAGAGGGTTGGTGTAAACTAATCACGGTTGGATTGGTCTTCAACACAAATCTATATCAATCAGTTGAATAATCAACGAAAAGCTTCCAGTTTAAATCCCTGTAACAATGTTGAATGATAATTTTGTACACCAACAAGTCAATTTATTATTACAACAATAATTTGCCCCAAATTGATCAGTCTACCATGAGTAACTACAAATAAGAAGCAGTGAATAAACGGACTATCGCAATCAGTTCTTACCACACATATATTATGAAGATTTACATATATTTCTGAATTATTCCTACTGCTAACAAAACTTTTAGTATCACTACTAACAATTATTCAGAATGGATTCCATAACGTTTGACTAGACTGTATCCAAGTCACTTTATTACAATATTGATCGATATCAAATAATTAATTAAAGAGGTATCAATTGAATTCCTGACTAACTGTCAAATGTAAAATCTTCAAGTCATCTATAATATATCCCCCATCATGTTTAATACTTCATTAATTAGTCACAATATTTTCATTAACTGTTTGTAAAGGTAAATCATCTAATCCAGTAAATTACTAGTTAAAGCAAGTTCTAATTTAGATTCACTACATAATAAACCTTCATCTCTAGTCATTGACTTCGTGATTGTCTTGATATAAACTTCAATGTTTATTCAATATTTGTTCAGTTATAATACAGTTTACTTTGTATTAAATTTATGATTAGTATTATTACATCACTGTATTCTCATAACTAGAAATGAAGTAAAGCAAAATATGTCTTAGTTTTATTCCCCTACATCCTGAATGTATATGAATCAGAATTTCGGCATATTAAAGTGTGAAATGTAAACCTTGATGATTCACGATCAAAAACTAGTTCTTTTTTTCTGTATAATTCGATACGAGATAGTTAAATTATCAATACCTATCGAAGGGATTCATTATGATTCGTTAAAAAGATCATACACGTGATGTATTTTTCAAATAAAAAGAACAAACTGTCATAATTCAACCATAATCGATGATTAGTTGGTAAAAAAAATATCAGGTCTGACACTAACAGAGAAGCTTGAAAGGACAATTAATACACAAATAGTCTACTACTAAACATTTTGACAGCATCGAGATTAGTTATGGTATATTTTGTTTAATAAATAAATAAATAAATAAATATATATATATATATATATATATATATATATATATATATATATATATATAACGTAAAAAAGATTATTTGCGAAATGTTGAGCTGAAGTATCTGGAAAGATCAAAGAATCATATCCATCCGTCAATTAGAGTTCTCAATGACTCCAAACAATTACTCTGAGCATAATCTACGATATTTATCACTCAAGTTAGCTTAACATGATAAAGAAATTCTGGCATTCCGAACAGAGTAAGTCAACATAGAACTTTATAATCGATTGTATATTTAGCTATGTGATCCCTATTTCCAACTATGAATCTAACAACTAACAACTTTGTTTCTGTTTGTAGGTTAATTTATCATGGATAGTAATTGAATTATGGTGATTTCTATTGTTTATCCAGAAAATTATTTTGTCATTTACCCTATTCCATATTCAGTAGTATTATATTACACGTTCATGAAATCAGGCAAACGTATCATACAATTCAGTTTGCTTCACTAATTGACATCAAAATTTACTTTAAATGGAATTTGACATTCTGTTTTTTTTTAAAAAAAATACCTAATTGTACTTGCTGATAGTTTGTTTAAGTACAGTAGTGATTTATTAATTTCTAAACATCACGTGATTTGACTTATATTAATTACCGAACTCAATTTCTTAAAAGTTATCCATAATGCACAAATTAAAAACATCAATTGTCAAGTTAATAATAGTGAATTAAACCTCTTAATAAATGTAGATAATTTCACTAAGGTTTAACACGAAAACAAATCACTGTTTGGAAACAATGATTAATATTAGACAGTTTAAAACTTTCAACGGATATAATTAACATTGTTATATGCAGTTTGTAGAATCTGTGAATGCAATTTACTCATATCTAGATTATAAGTAGTATAGAACTGGAAATATGCGAAAAACTCATTCACTTGTTAATAACATATAATGTGTTATGGTATGAATGAAATACCTATTGAAATCGATCGATTGAATTCGACAATATAAACTGTGAGTAAACTATGGAACTTAATTAGGGAAAGCAACTCACTTAATCGTGATCCCTAGAATACATGTGGAAAAAAACTGAGGTGTTTATCTCTAGACACAGTGGTACGATTAATTAAATACGATTATTTACCTATCATTCGGTTTTACATGAATTACAAATTATCAAATCCCTGTGGTGTGGATGTCGTTTCTATGTATAACTAAATCTAATTCCAATAAACGAAGTGTCGATATTCCGTCAATTCATATGATATTGTTCAAATTGAGTAAATGTTAATAATATTCAAAGAACATAGTTCGC